AGCTGAGGCTCAGACATGCAGGTGAGGAGCCTGCAGGGCTTCTGTCTTAGTAGGTCATTTTGACTTCTTCTAAGGTGTATGAGGGTTCCTTTAAAATATTAAGCTGTTGTTGGGGGTTAAAAATGGCTCTTGGATTTAAAACAGAGTGAAGTCTGACTTAAATGGGAAAAGGAGCCTTTCTTAGGTGTGTTCCACACTGAAAACTTCACGAAGCAAGAAAGATAACTTCTGCATCTTATTTGAGGACCTCTGTTGAAGTTAAGCTCTGAAGCCTCACTCTTCAGGAGGGCACTTTCACTGCCTCCTGTGGATGCTCTTCCTAACAGCCCAATGTACCATGCAAATACCTTCTAAAGTCCTTGCATAAAGCTTGTCTTCCTAATGGGAGTGTCCATGTGTGGAATGAGATACTGTAAGCAAAACTTGAGAAATCGGTGATTTCTACAAGTTACTTAGCTACATTTGGGAGGATTTTGAACAGTGCCTCAGGGGTTATCTTTAATAAACTTTCTCATAGATACTCGTGTGACCTTGGTCTATGGTAAACTGCAGATTAGTTTAACTTCCAAATTATGTGAATACTATATATGTCTCAGCCTTGTTATTGCAGTCTGTGCTGTAAACCTGTGCGGCCTCTGAGGGGCACAGGTGAATTAATGCTTGGATTTAGGGGTTCATCTAGTTGCTATAGTTTATATTCTCTTCAGTTATAATAGAGATGGTTTTCTGTATTTTTTTCTCCCCTGGCAACTAGCTCTCCCTTTTTGTTGTGGAGGTGCAGAGGTTTCATTTTGCATATTTTTGGTGGAATGCTGAGCAAGTGAAAATTATGGAAACACATCCTATCATAATGTCTTCCTTCTATTTTACTCTTGCAACTCATTGCTTAGTATTTTCTTAGGTAACATTGATTATTTTAAAGTTTTATAAAATGCTAGAAAATGTTCTCAAGTTTTGCAGTATTGTGCAGCTTCTGCTCAAAGGCAGATTGAAAACACTTCTTATGATAAACCACTGGGAAAAGAATTGGCCTTGTGCTGGGTCCTGGCACTTCTTAGCTGTGTTTTCTGGGATGAGAACACTTACTTGGTTTTGCCCTTTGCTTTTAAGAGGGAGTTGTGCAGATTTTTTTTCCAAATTATTTTCATCTTTCTCTCTTCCAAAGCATCCCAGAATCTGAAGGAAAAGTGTCCTAGACTGGGAGGGGTTACTCATGGTTGAATTACTGTGTTGTGAATGGTGGTGGTAGATGAGAAGAAATGTGTGACTCTCCTGGCCAGGGGAGCTTTGGAAAGGTGCCTAACTGCATACCCAACTTGAAGAAAAAAATGTTCCCTATTAGTAGTTGTCCCTAGCAGAAAACCCAGAATGTTTTATACTGCTTGGTGGACAGAACTGCAAGTCATCTCATGGTGTTGTAACACTTCATGTTTTAGCATTAGGCTTCATCTGGGTCTCTAAGTTACTCTCCTTAGCCTTCAGTAAAACATGGAGGTAACTAATTAACTAAGATTTTCTTTTAGGAAGATCCCTAACCCTGTTGAACTTTTCCCTTTCCGAAATCATGAGTAAAAGTAATGGTGTCACATGGTGGGTAGGTTGTAAGTCAGTCGTGTTTCAAACCAAGGGAAAAGGGGAGATTGGCTTTTTGGGGTGGAATGATTTGCTTCCAAACAGTATTCCTGGATCATGGTGGCTGTGTGTGTTCACCCACAGCCTGGCGAGGGACCCAGTGGAAAAGGAGACTGCCCAGTGGATGCTCCACATGTAGATTTGTTAGGGTAAAGGCAACAGTTTAGATACAATGTATCTCTTGTAATTGGCTGTGTAAAATAGTTGCATTTTTAAGCCTTCATGCTGCTACATTTGGTTTCCACCCAGCTCTGTGCTGTGATAGTTTCTTTTAAATGAGTAACTGATGGCTCAGGAGTTACATTGGTGTTTCTGCTGGTTTGGCAGTAGCACAGCGTGCAGACCTGTTTGTACAGGCCTTGCAAAGAATAGCTGCCACTAGCCTGGGCTCCGAGAGGGGCACAAAGCACAGGATGATTCTCAGTTTGCTATAAGCCTCTAGAGAACTTAATTAGTCACTTTGAATGTTGATACACCTCTGTCTGAAACGTGTACGTTGGCCTGGGAACAGATTATTGAGTTACTATTGCCTTCATCATGTTCACTTGCATGATTTTGGGGTTTTTAAGTATTGTCCCTTTGGGTTAACAAGAGATCTTGAAAGGTGTTCCCAAGTTAGAATACTTACCACCTTGATTAGCTGTCAGCAAACAAATGGCTTTATTCAGCTTCTGTTTTAAAGTTTCCTTCACTTTGTTTTAGTGCCTGGGATTTAGTACTGGAGCAGGGACCCCATCCTGAAGGCCCTGGCTAAACTGATGTGACAGTTCTGGTTTAAGTTCTAATAAATCAGAATATGGAGTCACACCAGCTGTTCCTTGGTTTGAGGTGAGGAAGGAAGAGGGGCTGTTTTGGCAGGAGTATTAGGACAAAGCAGGGGAGGAGGGAATCTTAAAGCACATGGAGAAGGTGGAGCACTGGTAACATGCTTTAGAGTGGGCTGAGAGAGAATATATGAAAATAAGGAGTACTTAGTGCAAGTGATGCTTATTTTAGTCAAGTTTACTGATCTCCAGTCAATGGTTTTCTTAGGTATGAAGTGCATGTCAAGAACAGTCTCTTGATTTACATGCGAATTTTGAATATGCTTCAGTTGTCAGTGCCAGCTCTGTAAATGACAGCTCCTTGCTGCAGAAGATTGTTTGGTACATCAGGAAAACTTAGTCATCATTATTTTTGCTTATCAGACCTTGAATGTGTGGTGGCTGCAGGCTGGTTTTAGCAGTTTGGGTCTTTTCAGAGTTTCTGAGATGAGTAGAGCTTTCTTTTCTGCTATACAGAGAAATTTGGTGACAGTGCTAGCCTCTTCTACCCAGAAGACTCACCCTGTGTGTTCTGTGCCTGAGTTGTTGTGGGGGTTAACTGAGGGTGCAGTCATGTCTTGGGCTTACTGTTGTGAAATAGTGTTTTAATAATAAATTGGAGTGCTCTTGTTTGTGGAAGATGCATAGATCAGTCAGCTCTGTCCAGAGCCATGTGATAAGGTGTAGTATTCAGAACTGCTTAAATGGGCATAAGGATAGCTAGTGTGAGCTGGTTGCTTGAGAGAGAAATGGAGTATGTAAGTGGTCAAATCTCTGTGAACCATTTACCAGGTGCTTGCCCAGGAATGTCTGCTTATGGTTCAGTAGCAGTGCAAGAAAATTGAAAACCCAGGATCAGCAAACTCTGGAAAGGAAGAGTAGCCCCATAAAACATTAATTCTGATGTAGTGTTTTATCTGCACATTTCAAATACTGCTGTCCTTTTGAGAGCTGAGACCCTGTGGTGGGACTGGGCTGGGCAGAGGGGGCTGCTATGAGGGTGTCAGCCCTAGCTCACTGTCTCTCCTGTCATTTCACACAGCTTAAGTGAATGCTGAGGTCAGTTTGTGTGCTGACATATCAGAACCTCGGGTTTTACACGTGGGTGTTGGACTCGTGGCCCACACTGTGTGTGTGAGGTGCTTTCCTTGTCTGCCTTGACAAAGCATGAGCTTGTGTCCACTTGTATTTACATCGTATCTATAGCAGCGTCTGCAACTTGAACCTCTGCTCTGAAATGAACTCAGCACAGCCTAGATCCTATAGCTGCTTGTTTCATTAGCTGGTAATTGCTTAATATCGATGGGAATAGAGGCTGTCCTTTAGATAATCCTGCCTCAGGTTAGTCAGCTTCCTATTGCAACTGGAGCTAAACGGACTTGCACCCCTCCTCTCCCCACCCTCCCAATCTAATGTACTGCCCACAGAGCTGCTGCTCTAGGCAGCTGAGCACTGACAGTTCCACCTAAAGGTGGGAGGACAGGTGGGTTTGTGGTCTCACAGGGAGCTCAGCTGATCTAATGCCTTGGTATTCCCAGAAGAATGATCTTCCATCTTATAAGACCCCTTTGAAAGTCCATGAAATTTAGTAAAGTGGTAGAAAATGATTTGTTCCCTCCCCTGAGTTTTCTCCCTTTCTGATGTGTTAAATCCACCTGTGAATGTGTCTGCTAGCTGCCTGACTTGTCTCAAGGTGAGCAGTGACTGAAGTGATGCTTCAGATACTTTGTGCTGTCTCTGTTGAGGTGTTGATGTCCCCAAGCACCTTGTTACCCACCCTGGGCTGGCAGTATACTGTGTAGGCACAGGGTCCATACCACTGGGGATGCTCTCTTAGTGATTTCTTCCCACGTGGTTGGTGACTTCTGGCTTCTTGGGCTGGAATGTTTTTGTTAATTGAAGAAACTCTCTTCAGAAATCACCGTTCAAGCCTAGCAGAGTGATATGGTCTTCTGTCATTAATTGTATCTGAATTGTTGTTCCCATTGATTCTATGTTGTTTCTATGTACTGACCTTGGAATACTTCTCTGAAATGTTCCTTTTCTTCCTCTATCTTTGAAGTGCCAAGAAGTAACACCATACTGAGGTCCCACTCAAAGGTTTTGGAAAAATACCCACAGCTGTGTGTGGTTTTTCCTCTTCCTTTACTCCATCTCTTGAAACTGAGAGGGTAGTGCAGGAAGATACCTGAAGTAGGTACACAAATGTTTGACTGGCACGGGGAGAGTGTTGAAAAGGTAGATCACAGCCAGGGCTTTTGCTGGTGTTGAGCTCACACCGGGGGGTAGTGGTGCCCTTGTTTGTCACAGGGAGCTCTCAGGAGTGCCATGTCAGTGACAAAGTCCTTCACTTTGCTTTCTTCTTGGAATACATATTTGTAATGGTTTTGAAACTACCATTCTGTGTATGTGGAGTTCCAAGGGGTTTGGTGTCATGTTTGTAATACAAACTCATTTTCAGTCTTAACTTGGTGCTGTGGTATCCAGTGTCCTATCAGTATTCCCCAAAACTTTTAGAGCAGGATTGCAAGTATTAATCCAATGTTTGTGTTCAGTTTAATAAAGGGCTCAACAAGATGAACTGTCAGAGGTTGGGTCTATCACACAAAGCCACAATAACTTTCTAGGGTGATCCTAATGCAGCATTACACACCTTGTTAATTATGGAATGCAAATAGTTTAAATATAGATGATCTATTTCAACTCCATAGGCATGAACTTTCAGCCTGGCCTATATCTACAGGCCTTTATTAGTCCTAAGGAAGCCAAGGTCCCTCTGCATATATTCAGATATATTTAGACCTATGTCCAAATGGAATTGTTACAGGAATAATTAGGAAGGGTTTCCTTACACAAAAGAGAAAATCAGGGAGTCATTTATGAGCATAACAAACAGGAGTTTAGGAGTCCCAGTCAAGGGCTCAAGTCCTCATTAGTTGTAGATGCTCCACAAATACAGAGCAAGGAGTATTGTTACCCCAAAAAAATGCTCATAGCTCACGGTGGTCCTGGAAAACGTAAGTGCAAGGACATGATTTAATAGCAGCTTTCTCTTTCCTATCAACACTTTTTGTAAAGACAGTCTTCCCAGAAGCACTGGTTTGGCACAAATGGCAGAAAGTAGAAGGAGCTGTCTCTGCTGCTGCAGGAGGAGAGAGAGGTGGTGCTGTACAGCCTCACAGGAAGCTTTCCCATCGTCTGTAGCCTGTGTCAGGAACAGGCTATTTGTGAGCTGGTCCATGCTGTTCTGGGAAAAGTACTTTGCAGCAGTGCACATTGGGAAAGATCAGTTTAGATTTAATATTAGAAATGTGTTGTAACTCTCCAGGTCATTGTCCATCTCGCAAGAACTGCTGGTGCTAGTGCTGATGTTGGTGCTTGCAGAGTTGCCTTTACCCATACCCCTGACCTGCGGTAAACTCAGCCCTGGTATTAACATGTAAATACTGATGTAGAGTCCGAATGGCTGTGAAAGTAGCTGCTGTGGAGGGAGGAACCAGCAGTGTAACTGGATCTGCAGAGCTGTGAGGCTGCTGCAGTCCTTGGCAGAACTTCAGGGAAGGTCCCCCACGGCTGTGATGGGTGCGAGGCACACTGTGGTGAGCACACAGCCTCGGGGCCCTGCAGCCATGGATTTTCCTGGGTTTTCACTGGGAATATTCCTAGTCGCGTTTGTTTCGGCAGTCAGAACAACGTCTCGAATCCATGTGTTCCTAATGAGCCTTACCAAGTAAGATGCTTATTAACTGCCCAAAGCAGCCTGCAAAATAATCCAAAAATAGCACACTGACTGGTTACTCTATCACTTTGCTGCAGATCTGATTAGGATAGAGCAGAGTGCCTAAATTTTGCCACATGAGCAGTGTATTATGTCTTCCAGAAATGATAGCATGAAATGTGCTTGGGATCTTTGTTTGTTTTGATTTTTTAAAATAATGTTTATTTCTTGTTTAAAAAACCAAAATTTGTTTAGTATATTTGGAATAGTTTGATTGTTTTCTTAAATTATTATTATTAGGTGATCATTGTAGGTCACTTCAGAGGAGACATCTGATCAATTAGGTAGTTCTTACTCTGCAATCAGTGATAAGATATCCAACTGTTCATCCTCTCTAGCCTTGTCTTGGTGTGTGAAACTGATTTATAGAATTGTCAGACATTCTGACTCGAAAATACATTGAAACTCATTCTGGGAGACTGGCAGTGGTACAGCTGTTTTAACGTTTTGCATATGGATTTTCAGTGTTTTCACACTCAAGTTATATTTGTATTGTGGGTATGTTATTAAGCTCTTACTAAAAATCAAAACCAAACCTAAAAATTGATGCTCAACATGTGCAGAAATAATGAAAGCAGCTGCCTTTTCTTGCTGAGATATAGAACTACAGTGAAAATACTGTGTACGAAGGAAGATTTTTGTGTGAGACTTTAAATGTGTGAGGTCTCCATAAGTACAGCTGGTGATGTAAAGAGCTTAAAGATAGGAAGAGCTGAGAAGAGTGGTGAAAAGAGCAGACTGCACCAATAGTACCCAGCTCATACCCAAGGTAAAAACTGTGTGTGCAATTCAGTTTAACTAGTGTTTGCATAATCAGTGTTAAAAAACCCAGAGTTTTTTAGAGGTTCCTGTAAGCACAACATACTTCCTGTTGTGGGGAGAGAGGTTCCTTGCCAGCTGACAGAGCAGTTGTGAACCGTGAGTTGATGCTGGTTTAGGTTCAAGAGGTGTATTGTTGCCAGTGATGTCCAGTAAATATATAGGAGTGAGTTTGGGGTGGCAGCAATCAGAGGGAAAATGGTCTATATCTTTCCCAAAGTGTTAAACCCGCGAAGTTTTAAAGCTGCTGGCAGGTTGCTGCGAGGCTGCTGTGCTTCCCTTTGCCCGAGGGCTGACTGGCTGGCCCTGAGCAGGAGCCACTCGAGTGTTTTTGCAGTGTTTGTTGTTCTTAAGTGCTGTTGCCTCAGTGGTAGATGGCATTTTTACCCCTTTTGGTATGTCCTCAAAGGGAGGACTGCTGTTAAATTTAGTGGTGTAATTGACAAAGAAAAAAAGTCCATTAGCATGTAGTAAAATTTCTTGTCTCTAGTTCTCAGCTATATAGAGTGAATGGTCATGTACACACACAGTGGGATTTTCTGCCCTTCACCAGATCACATGAATGTTGCAATAGGAATAATATTTCCAGCATGTTAGTGCCTTGTGTAGTCTCGTGGGAGAAAATGGAAAATCCTAAAGTACTCCTGTAGGTAAGGGTGAATTTTCCCAGTAGTCAGTTTTGCATCAGAGCTCATTGCAGCAGGGAGTCCTTAAGCTGGCTGGCTGGACTATCCTGGAATTTGAGTTCTGCAGAGGGAATCTTACTGCTGGGACTCATTTTGCTTGAGTTGTAAATAGCTCTTCTTTGTTTGTAGTAAAAGTGTGTATCACTGGTTTAGGTCACTAATTTTCTGCTTGTCTAATGTTCAACTCTTTCTTGCAGTGACAGTTCTCTTACTTTAGGACCATTGCCTGGACTAACCTGGAAATCTGTCTGCTTTGAGCCCTAAATCAGAGCCTGCTGCCTTAGCTGTAGGATTTGTGCCTTGGCACACAAGATCCATTGTCTGTAAGCTAGCCAGCATCATGCATATCCACTGAGACATAGGCTTCATGTTCTGTGTTCCTAAAAGACTTATTTGCTCCCTGATTCCCACTATATTCCTATGTTAGCACTGCATTTCACTGGTGCACGAGGTTGGCTTGGACCCCAGGGGATAGTGTTACAGCCATTTCCATATCAAAAAGGTGAAGAAATGAGCCCAAGCTGCTCCTGAATAGCAGAGCTCTGTGCAGCTCCCAGACTCCTGTTAACATTTTTCCCACAATGAGACACTTAATGAATTTGCAGATGGCCTGATTTGATTTTTTTTTTAAAGTATAAACTGTCCCTTTCTTAAGGTGTTGTGTGATAGGGCTGAGTATGATGATAGCTTATGGCTGGAGTGAGAAAGATAGGGAGAAGTGTTTGGGGAAGACCGAGAAAGCAAGTTGAGACTGAGGTGTGAAGTGGGAGAGGGCAGCAGGGGCTCTGTAACAGGCATGTGGATAGTGTTGAGCAGATCACATCTAGTTACAAAGTAGTGGTTTTATCTTAAAATATTACTGAATATAGAGAAAAATTTGTCTGAACATGGGAGAGATTCTGAAATGTGGTTCTGCTCTCATTAGAGTATGAGTCAGGTATCCTCCTTGTTTACTCTGGCAAGTTGTCACAAAACTGCAGAGTGTTGTGTTGAGTAATTCCATGAGCTTGTGTTTGGAGGTCACGTGGGGCACTGGTGGGGCAGCATTACTGCTGCTTGGTTGGAATACCTGCCTGCTTAATTGTTCTATGTATCTGTTTCTGGCTAGAAAATACTATAGACTGGGCTGGAAACAGGTTTCGGTGTTGAATTTTGGTCAGCTGTTGTGTTTCTGCTCAAAACAAACAAAATCTTTGTGCTAGGTTACTTGTAAAAGAGAAGTGAAAGGCATCTTGGGAGAACATTCCATCTTTCCCTGGCACTTGGGCAGGTCCAGCTGTACCAAAGGCATCACTGGTGGCTTTTTTTAATCACACAGTAGATGAGCTGCTGGTGGCAGAGATGCCAGAGCCTCATGTGGCAGTCTGCCTTGGTGGTTAACTGTCCAAACATGCATAACATTCACTCAATATTTAATCTGATTTGGCTTTGCTGTAGTTTAATTAATTGCAATTTTTACAACAAATTGTTTTCTATGTAGAGTTTTGCCTTTTGTGATTTCACTGCCTTTCCAGTGAGTTGGCCAGATAATTTTTACAGTTGTGTTCTGTACTCTGTACAGTTCAAACATGATCATGATAGTACAGTTAGATTATTTTTGTGGGATTTTTTTTTGTGTAATATTTTATTTTAAAGCTTCCAAAATGGTTATTTTTTTTTTCTTTTTTACCTTGGTAAACAGGTTGAATCCTTTATTTTGGACCAAGAAGACCTTGATAACCCAGTACTGAAAACCACGTCGGAGATATTCTTATCGAGTGCTGCAGAAGGTGCAGACTTGAGAACTGTGGATCCAGAAACACAAGCAAGACTAGAAGCCTTACTGGAGGCAGCAGGTACTTTCTTTGTGTAGTTGGTTTTTGTACTGAACCTGACTTGTATACAGATCAGGCAACCTGTAAATTTAGACACTGATGGGTCTGGAGATTTACCATGATGATGAGGAGCAGAGCATGGAAAACAAGCTCATGGTTCTTACAGGTGTTGGAGGTTGTTTGGTCCACTCTTTCTGTACATACAAAGTTAGAAAAATGAATTTGAACTAAATGCCATTTTACTGACTTGAGATTCCATATTTACCGGGGGAGAATTGAGGGGAAGAGAATGGAAGGAAATAGACTTGTTAAAAATGTCTTTTTTATTCGTGCTGCTTTGGTCGATATCTAATTATTAATCCATTACTCCAGAAATTTACAGGTGAAATACTCTTTTGACTTTGACAAAAATGTTTTTCCATTCTATAGTTCTGAGATATCACTGTTGGAAAATAGGTATTTAATGTTTACCTTTTGGAACCAGGCTGGATGAACATAGTGCCACTACATTTGTTACTTCTGTAGTGAAAGCCTCACTCTTTTACATCTTCCTCTGGTTTCTGACTGGGGTGTTTGCAAGGATTTGAAAATTGTCAGTTTCAAACTTCCAAGGACAAAAAGATGTAAAAACTCTCTTCTGAAACAAATCCCTTGCAATCGTCACAGGTGTATAGTCAGAGGAGTAGTAGTAGTGTTCTGAAATGGAAGTTTTCAGGCTTTACCTTTGACCACTCTTGAGAGTGACATAAAATAACATCTGTTTGCAGGTGCTTGGATGTAAAGCCGTGTACAGTCTTGAAGGAGAGCTTTATTCTGAGGAAGCAGAGGGGGCAGGGACTTGGGATCTGGGCTCTCTTTGCATTTTGAATTTGGAAAAGCCCCAGCTTAGAACACAGCATAACTTTTGTCAGCAGAAAGTTGCAGCAACCTATTTGCTGTAACTCTTGGGGACCAAACTTTGACAGGGAAGATGGACTGTTCCTGGGATACTCTGTGCACTAAGAGAATTTGAGTAGTCTGGTTTCTTTCGAAGCACTTTTAAAGATGACAGTCAGTCTGTTTCTCTCGTGTTCCTGGTGGCTGCTGTGTCCCAAAGCCTTTGCTGGCTTAGTAACTTGTCAGAGGAGATGGCTGCTGGCTGGTGTTGGGAGGGCAGTGCACTCTGAGGTGTGTGCTCACAGCTCGGGCTGCAGTGCTCACGGTGTTTACCACAGCCAGGGGGTACCTCTGCTGCCTGTGAGAATGCTGTCTTCAACTTTCTGCTGGCTGCTTGTCCCCAGGATTAGATGATTTGTTTTTAATCTGAGGTTTCCATGCTTTGATTCCTGAGTGCTTGGAGTAGGGGTGTAGAACATGGGCAGAACAGAAGGAATCTGGGAAGAAGAGCAAAGCAGAAAGAGTGCTTTTGTTTGAGGACTCCATCTCCCTCTCTAAAAGACTGGACAAAATTAATGCCACTTCATGAATGTGTGAGATCAAGGGAGTGAGAATACTCTTGGGAGAGTCCTCTAGTTAAGCTGCTCTTGTCTTTCCCACTGCGAATCTGAACACTAGAAATACAAGGCTAACCTAAAGGAGATGCTTCAAATCTCCAGTTTATTAATAAAACCACAATTTGACGCTGCTTGAAAAAGACGTTTGTGTTTCTGGGACATGTTCTAATATCTTCACTGGTTTTATCTAGCTGGTTTGGCTGCGGAAATATCCTTTCTAACCTTAAGTGAGGTTTTTTAGGCTTCCATAATGGCAACAAACAAAGCAGCTTAGTGTTGGGCCTGTGCATTCTTTTGTAGTTTGGCAAAAGCAAGTGATTTCTGCAGTTGTTTTAGTCACAGTTCAGTCCCCAGAATTGAGCTTGCAAAAGTAGAGGGCAGAATTATGGCTCAAGCAAGTTGCAGCCTTGTCTACAGGGTAGCTTGGCCTCTCCTGTGAGAGGCTTCATTCCACCTTACAACTTAGAGGAAAATCAGTCTTGCATTTAGTGTCTTGGATTTCTTGGGGTTTCTCACATTCAGGGTTTGTGGCTGTGTCATTAGGACCTTAATGAGTATGACTTGTAAAACTAGTTTTGCTCATTCTTCCTGAATCCTTTAATGCTCAGATCTCTCATGGACATGTTAATTCTGGAAGGTAAGTTCTAGCAACTGCAGCCAAATGGGATGTTCTTCTTCAAAGTACTTGTGCAGAAGTGGTTTTGAGCCATTGTGCTGTTGTAGGAGTTGTGTTTTGTTTGTAGGCAGCTGTCTTGATTTGAGAGCCACTGCATATGCAAGTGTAGGGCCAGAGGTCAGCTGAACTGTTGAGGATGTTTCTGTAGGTTGTATTTACCCACCATCAGGGTGCTGGATGGTTTTTTTGCAGTTGTTTATTCTGTTTCAAGGGGGGATTAAAATAGTTTGTGGGTTTGGATGCTGAGGGTGACAGCCTTAAGCAGAATTTCTGAGGAGGGTTGTGCCTCACCCCTGTGACATAGCAGCAAGTATGTACACATAGACACTTCCATGTGCACACAAACAGCCCTTGGACTCCTTGTGTTTGCTAGGTCCTCTGAAAACCTGCCTGATTAGCTTAGGTTTGGACAGCCATACCTCATGCTGTGGAAGTACAGGCACTTTGTTAATGAACAACTGTCAGTGTTTGTATTATTTCACCAAAAACTAAGTCTCCCTTGTATTTTCCTTCATTTTGACTCCTAGTAGCAAAGAAGGGATTTATAGGTAAATAACCTATGGAATGAGAACCATCCTGTTTGGAGATGTTTCCCTTTTTCAGGCTGTAATTAAACAGATTATTAGTATTCTGACAGTGGAGTCCTGTTCTGCTCCAGAAACATTTAGCTCCACTTGTTAATTGGGGTACTGTTGATTTCTTAAAATAATACTCCAGCTCTGAAGAATCCTGGTTCTTTTGTGGATCCTCAGGAAGGATGTGTATTACATGTCCCTTTTAGGGGCAGTAGTTGGTGGCTGGAGATGAGAGCTTTTTGCTGCTGGGAATGAATGATTAGTGTTCAGAGCTCTTACTCTTGGTGGGTACTTCTCTGGGTCCCTAAACATGAGTTTGTAAAGGGGAGAAGTGGGGAAATTTTGGCAGGTTAAAGCTGTTTAATTTTCTGGTCCCAACTTTTGTTGGCATCAGGAAGGGGAAATGACTGGCTAATGCTGTGCAGACCTCTCTGCAGTACAGGTTGTTTCTGAAAGAGGGTAGAGAAAGGTCTTGGTTCAGGCATGCGGTCAGATAAGAATCCTTGATGCCAATTTGGTGTATTCTGCAGCCAAAACAGAGTTCAGAAAGTTGTGAAACGTCAAAATGTTAATCCCTGCAGTTAAAATTCCCTGTTCATAGTGTTTCAGCATTGTTTGGCTGAGTTTGCTGGGAAGTGACTTGGAGTGTAATTGAGCTGCTTTTTGACTTGAGGAAACAGCTTGAGTGCCTGTATCCCTATTATTTATTGTTTATAAAGAGGTTTGTGAGGAAAATGAGGGTGTTGTGCAGAGGGACCATGTTCAGCCAGAGGTCTGCTGTAATGCTTGTCAGGCATTGAAACAGGTTGCCCAGGGAAGTGGTGAGATTGCCATCCCTCGTGGTGTTCAGGAGGCCTCTGGGCCTGGCACTGGAAGATATGGTTTAGGGGTTACAGAGGAGTGACAGGTTAACAGTTGGAGTTGATGATTTTAAAGAGATTTTCCAACCTTGATGATTCTACAATATAGATGTGAGTAGTCGACCCATTAGTTCAGTCAGGGACCAAAGTTATGTACACCCATCTTTTCTGTTGAAACACAGTCCTGCAGGTGGCTGAGGACCCTCACATAGATGGTTTGGTGTATGTGAGACAGTGAGGGACTAAATGCAGTGTAAATTGTTTAAGATAAATGTAGTTTTGGTAACGTTTCTGTTAATACCTGCCGAGTTTTGATAGGTAATTCAGGCCTGAGGGCCTGAATGAGGAGGGGCAGAACAGGTGGTTGTGTTTTGGAACTGGGGAAGGCAAAAAGTGATCATCAACTTAGTGGAAATACAGATCACAGATCAAAATATGAATGGGCCCAGATGAAATCCGCTGCTTTAGGATAAACTAAAAAGTTAGGGTAAGATTGAGCGATTGTAAAATCAAGTGCTTTCCCCTCTGTGTGTGAATTTCTGTTTACTCACATGCCAACCTGTGGACCAAACCTGTGGGTTTTTTTTGTGTGAGATGTTATCACTAACAGCAAGGGGTCTTTGATTAAAATAAAGTAAATTGTTTGTTTCCCCCAACACAGAGAGCTTCAGTGTGCCAAGATAGACCTGTGATCCAGCACTGCTGGGGAGTGGGCTGTGGTGTGAGAGAACAGTGCCAGAGATGCACAGCTTGCTTTCATCCTGCATCCCAGACAGCCCTTGGAAAGTGTCAGAGACTGGGCTAGAGAAATTCCTTGATCATGTTAATTATGATCAATTAGATTAGTGTTTCTTTTCTTGGGTTGATTGAGTAACTTAACTGTGATTTAAATGGAGGTGAGCATTAGAACTTAATGTCTGATGGATTATCCAAGCTCCACTTGAAACTATGGAAGTGGAGGGGCTGCAGGAAACAGGAGATCATGTTTGTCGGTTTCGTGGCTGCACCTCTGTGCTTGTGGAACGTAACAAATGCATTTGTCGGTGTTTATTGGTGTTATGGAATAGAAAAGAAAAGCAGAGTCTTTGTTGGGGGAATCTGAGAGGATTGCTGGAATTTGAGCAGAGATGTAACTATTGTAAAAATGTAGCAGTATCAAATCTGAAGTGTGTTTAGCCACATTCACCATGGCAAAAACCTTAGTCCAGATCTTGTGACTGACTTGTAAACTTAGAAAGGCTTTCACCATGATTTGACCTGAGTTATGTGGACACAGCATAGGAATCAAAGGAGAGCAACAGTTTTCACTAGGAAAGTTTGAATAGGATTCATTGTAGGTGTTTCTTCAGAGGTCAGAGCTGCACTGCCACTGAAATCACCTCTGTCTTGTTAGCTGGAAAACTTCTGCCTTTTGACA